TTTTGGTGGCAGGATGTTTTTTGATATATCATGACAACTTTCAATATTCGAGTGTGCTTAAAGAGAAAATTCAAATACAGTTTGACTATAGTCATTACTGGCTTGGGGGGAGCGTAAGTATATATCATATATATTACTTTATATATTTTTTGATTTTAGTGTTCACATATATGTTACAAAATTTCAATACAATAGTCAATATACATATGTTACAGTATCTACAACGTAGGGGTCCAGTGTAGGTAGCCTAGTATTCTACAATAAGCTGGCGTGTTTGTGTGTCTGAACTACTTGAAAAAAATATCTCAAACGAGTGGAGGTCCATACAGTGTAGATAGTGTTCTACAATAATCTGTCGTGGTTTGTGTCTGAACTACCTGAAGATGTCTCAAACGTGGTGGTCCAGTTTAGGTAGTACTCTACAATAAGCTGCCGTGGTTTGTGTCTGAACTACCTGAAAAAGATATCTCAAACGTGGTAGTCCAGTGTAGGTAGTATTCTACAATAAGCTGTCGTGGTTTGTGTCTGAACTACCTGAAGAAGATATCTCAAACGTGGTGGTCCAGTGTAGGTAGTATTCTACAATAAGCTGTCGTGGTTTGTGTCTGAACTACCTGAAAAAGATATCTCAAACGTGGTGGTCCAGTGTAGGTAGTATTCTACAATAAGCTGTCGTGGTTTGTGTCTGAACTACCTGAAAAAAATATCTCAAACGTGGTGGTCCAGTGTAGGTAGTATTCTACAATAAGCTGACGTGGTTTGTGTCTGAACTACCTGAAAAAGATATTATAGGTAGAGAACTGTTTAGGTCAATTAAATTATTGGAATTTGAATCAATTTGATCTCCGAGTTCAATTTGAAAACTTGCATTGAACAATTTTTGGTGAACTGAGGCACTGCAGTTTTAATTGAATGCTTTAAGCTTGAAACAAGTCTTCAATGACAATGAAATTAAATAGTTTACTTTATAACTATGGTCCTATGAGGAAAATATTATATTTAAAACCAATTAATATTGTATTTTAATTTTACTTTTTAGTATCTTATCACAGCATTACTGACATTATCGTCAGCATGTCGGCAAAATAGAAGAAGATTGGTAAGCCGTAAGGATTTATACACAATATACACTATATTATCAGTTATTGAAGTTTGTTTATTGAAACTTTTAAGCCGAGGAATAAAGACCTGTTCAGACCAGACTGACAACGTCTATATAGCATTGTTTATCAAACAGTATTAGATCACATTGGATGAAAATTTGAATAAAGTCAACTACGTGAACAAACATCAGGAAACATTTCCAAACATAACGTTTACAATCAACAATGCAGGATAATGTTAATTGCATGGACCCAAATGTTGCACTAGTTTCACCAGAAAGCTGTGGGATAGAAAACGATTCAACGACCTGTAAAATACAATCAAAGGCTCGACGTTTCATTTGGGTGTTAGCTCGCCTTCGCTCGAAACGTCGAAGGTTTGCTTGCATTTTTCACTTGTCGTTGAACCTTTCTCAATCCGCCATCGTTGGTGTTATTGTCGCTCTCTCGCTGCCACAGAGCATTCCAGTTTTTATGGACTAGTTTCAGCGTGCCCACAAGGAAAAAATATTTGGGTTTAACACTTGTAAGTCTCCGGTAATTAAAATATCCTTCAACAAAGCAGCGTCTTTTAATGTTCTATAAAGACATTACATCTAGGAAAAAGGAAACGAGACGGAAAACGCCTCGTAGTCTCCAAGACCAAAAAAATTCAAAGACTTTCAAATATTTTTTCTGCCAATTGTCAAAGACTTTTCAAAGACTTTTGAGAACAATCAGGTGCCGAAAAATTGCGATGTATAAGCACCATTTTTACCAGGTAATTAGTCCCGTCAAATCACATCCTAAAATGCACTTTTTCGTCGATATTTGCGAAAATCTTGCTTCAATCAATCTATTTTATTAGCTAGGAAATCAGCGTATAATCAAATAATCACTAAAGAATTTAAAGACTTTTAAAGACTTTCTTCGCTTTTTCACCACACAATTCAAAGACTTTTCAAAGACCTTAATGACCTGCATTCAAATTTAAAGACTTTCAAGGATTTCAAAGACCGCTACGAACCCTGGATAATAAGAAAGCTTGAGATTGATAGGGATAGAACTGCCAGAAAAATACAAGGAGAACTTCATGGACGTTTCGAGCGAAGTCCGTCGTTGGGAATTTAGTTTTACTATACTAACTAACGGCATTCGCTCGGAACGTGGATGGTTGTCCTTGTATTACTGAGAGAGCTTTAACAGCGACTACGAGTACAAGATTTGATCGCGTGCGAGGAAATAACCGTCGTCGTTCTCGTTTCCGTTCAAATGTCGCTAATAGAGAGTTTGAGCAAGACAACGAAGTACGAAGACGAAGGCATACTTGACAATTTTTGCCGTCTGCACATTAGCTTGTGCATACTGTGTTGGACATCACTGGTGGTTGCTCAACGTGTCTTCCCATGTGTCGCTGTTTATGAATACTGACCATAATTCTTGCCCTGATCCAGAAAAAAAACAGCGAGACATGAAACTATATCCCGTCTTTATCCTTGTGTCTTCGTGCAGAACGAAGTTCACAACGAATTTTGCCAAAATATTCGTTGTGAACGAAGGCAGAAGAACGAAGACGGGATATGGATTCATGTCTCGCTGTTTTATCCTGATCAGGGTAAGGATTTGGGTCAACATTCATAAACAGCTAGACATGAATCTCAAATCTGTCTTCACTCCTGAACCTAAACTTAGAATGCGCAAGATAATGTTCAAGACAGGCAAAAATTGTCAACACGTCGTCGTCGTCCGACTTCGTTCTCTTGCTCAAACTCTCTAATAAAGCAGGAAACCAACAACGAGAGAAAAAATTTCATAAACTAAATCTCCTGCACACTAAAATTCCCTACAAAGCGTGTAAATAAGTCATAACATTAAAAACAAGCCAGATATTTAGTACTAATAATAATATGTTATTTGCGCCGGATAAACGCTATATAAACGCTACAAATTATTTTTGGAAAACAAAAAAAGCCAACTTTCTTTGTTTTTTTGAAAAGTTGTCGTGAGGACTACGAGATTTCTCCACAATTTCGTACTAAGATGGGCGACGGCTACGATTTTTTTGCGTCGGTATACGGGATGGCGTAAGCATACAGCATGCGTTTCGCTTGACGAATCTCGTACTCGTAGTCGCTACTAAAGCTCCCTATTATCTCTGTTATTCCGAAACTTTCTTGTTTTGAAATGGGATGTTGAGTTTGTCGGTTAAGTGGCTAATAACCGAGACAAATCCGAGGACGAGTCAAATCTGAGCCCGAGTCATAAAATGTCCGAATCACTGTTTAGCGGTCTTTGTATAGTTCAATGACTTAGTACCCTAACCCTACTCCCAACCCTATTCGATTGCGAATTTAATTCAATTTCGTCTTTTCTTACGTGACACGATCGGGCGTTTGACTCGGGCTCGGAATTGACTCGGATTTGACTTGGTTGTTTCATTAAAGACCAAAATATAGACTATCTATCAGTAGACTATTTTTCCGATGAATTTTGACGTCATTTTAAGAAAAGTGAGAGAGCCCTGAAAAAACTTGAGTGCGTGGCGGCAAAAACCTCGCTCTTTCTTTACATGTTTGCTGTCCCACGCGCTATTTAGGACACGGGATGTCCGCTAATTGTCCGGCTTCACAAGTGATTCAGAAAAAATTGCCAATAAAGAAATGAAGTGTCACCAAAATATGTTTGTCTTTGTGGGAGTCGAAATTATTTTTATATAACTAATTTTCATGTAGACATGCTTCCTTTCCGCAAAATAAATTAGTTCACTCGCAGACAATACGCCTTTATTACTGTGTTTATCATCTTGGTTGTCACGGTAACTGTACGTCAGCATCGCCAGGGCATGCTAAATTACTTTTAGAAATTGATAAGGAATCTATACGTGATATAACTGCCGCCACATTGCAGTCAGTTTTATCACGTTTTTCACTCCACGCATTCAGGGATGAGGAACACAATCGGCTGTATTCTAAAAGCTCACTCATACTCAATGAGTGGAGGTTCAATCTGAGCTTCCCTTGAGTGTCAATGCTGTTTTTGAATAGCTGGAGGGTGAGCAGTCACATAGTAAGGTACGACACTAGCCCTCCAGCTATTCAAAAACAGCAATGACACTCAAGAGAAGCTCAGATTGAACCTTCACTCATTGAGTGTGAGTGAGCTTTTAGAATACGGGCGTATGTTTTTATTTTATATTTGATGAAATTTAAAAGAGTATTTATAGTCAATGACAATACACAATTATTTGCACTAATCTATTAAGGCATATTCGAAAAAATTAATACGTTTCTTAAATATAATTTTACTTCAAAGGACTTTTAAAACAAGAAAATACTGACTGGTCATGAAAATTTGCTCCGTTTTTTCGCTTCTGCCTGACTATTTTAGGGTGGTATATTGACAAGGTTTGCAGGTTGAGGGATTCTTCGTAGACTGGGCCAAAACCAATCCAGTCACGCGAGAAGGCTTGGGACTTGGCAACATAAAACTTGCTTTATTTAGAAGCAATAAGCGCATAACAAGCAATAAGCGCATAAGCTCGTCAGAAGCAATAAGCGCATAAGCCCTGGGTACGAGATTGAATTCTAGCTTGTATGAATCTAAGGTGATGAAATAAATTTTTACTGTCGATTAAATATTATATCATAAACTGAAAGTACTGAATTGTCTTTACTTGAGCAACTATATGGAGAGAATTGAGATTCCCGTCGTAATGAGTATCAATAAGTAATAGTATCTATGCATGTATGTGTGTAAAATAATGCTAGGCAAAAGAGGGTTTTAAGATAGAGCAAGGAACTTTTGTTAAAATTTCATGCTGAAAAACCCCTCAAAATTGGAAAGATTTTACGTCTTCGACCAATACAATTTTACACCTTTCGCTAGACATTTATCACAGCAATATGTCTGACTTTGGCCATGGCGCTATCTCTGTTTGCCATTGTCCTTGATGGTCCTGATTGGATTGAGTGGAAAAATGTTGACAGAACGATGAAATTTTGGGAAAATAAAGACAATTACACTTGTTCATCGAATGACAAAACATGCGGTTGCCAACAAGGTGGTGCAGGCTCACGTAAGTAGAATCAATTGTACACCTGAGCGTTTGAACCGCCGAATGGGAGGGGGCAGAAACGCGTAAAAACGCACAAGTTGTGACAAACCTGCAGCAGTCTTGTAGCAATGTCAACTTGTAGCAATTGTCAATAGGATGTGTTCGCACTGCTTGTTCCCAGCTTGTTGACAAGTTGTCAACGACTTGTTGGCAACTTACTACAAGGTTGTTGATAACAAGTTGTTCCAACAACTTGTTATCGTCCTGCAATTCAACTATTTGTCAACAAGTTATGAGTGACAACCTTGTAGCAACTTGATAAAATAACAGCATTGTTACAACTTGCCAACATGCTACAAGGTTGTTGAGCTCAACAGATTTGTTACAAGTTGTTCCAACAACTTGTTATCGTCCTGCAATTCAACAATTTGTCAACAAGTTGTGAGTGACAACCTTGTAGCAACTTGATAAAACAACAGCATTGTTACAACTTGTTGACAAGCTTGCTACAAGCCTGTTGCAAACGCATCTTGTGACAAGTTTTGAGATTTTGTGAGAAAAGTCGAGAATCTTGCCCCAAGCATCAGCAAAACATGATTGGTATTAGCCTGGGGTACAATTAGGTTTAATTTTCGTCAGTCAGTCAAAGTTTTTGCTGTTTTGAAAAATCTCGTTAATAGTACAATTGCTCTTCTGCTATCTAAGACGTGTGTTAATAAATTTTATTCACAAATTAAAATTAGTTTCCTCCTCTTTCTTGCAGAGAATATCATGATTTCGATAATCGCTAATTGTGATGACGTAGTATATCTTGGTGCCATATATGGTGTTATAGTGGGCGGGGCGGTTATTGGATTCAGTTTATGTCTGGCGACATTATTGGTGATGGTGAACTCCGTATCGTGGAAAAATCCTTGGAAGGTTAGTAATATTATCATATAATAGATATATGTATTTGTACGTATGTCATCTATTAAGTCTATTTCAAATATGCCTCCATTTTAAGGCTCTTTCTTTTCAAGCAATAAATTTATTTGTTATGGTAGAATTAATGGGTGAGTTCCAGCTATAGACTAAATTTTGATCTAGGCAAGACGAACGAAATCCAACACCACAGCTAGAAAGAGCGCCTTAGAATGAGTAAAACTGCAAAGTTTAGTTGCAACATGTTGTAAAATGAAGAAAATACCCAGCGGGCAAAATGACGTTTATCCAACGTCGAATCAGCGTTGGAAATGACCTTCCAGACGTTGGATAGACGTTGAAAAAGGGTTGACTATGCAAATTGGATCGACGTTACTGTTTCTACGTTGAAACAACGTTGAAATTAGGTTGCCAATCTCGTCAACCATAATTCAACGTTGAATCCACGTTAAAACAACGTTGAGATGGGTTCACAAATCGACGTCGTACATTTAACCATGAATGAACGTTAATTCAACGTCTGTTGGCTGCTGTTGAACCAATGTTTGTAAAACAACGTCAGAGCAACGTAGATATTAGGTTGTCGACGTCGCAACCTTTTTTCTATCAAATTTCAACGTTGAAACAACGTCGTGTGCCCGGTGCAGGGTATAGCCCTGTGAAGTTCGCAAATTTTGTATATATTTGTGTTATACGCGCGGTAAAAATAACTACTTTGACTCAAAAATGGTTATTTTTCCCGCGCGTAATGCAAATATATACAAAATTTGCGAATTTCACAGGGCTATATTTTCCTCATTTTACAACAATTCGCAACCAAACTTTGCAATTTTACTCATTTTAAGATTCTCTTTCCAGCTATGGTAATAGATTTCGTCCTTCTTGTCAAGATCAAACTTTCGTTTATAGCTGGAAACATTCATTGCACCGAACCTCAATGGACCATTTGCATTATAGACTAAATTTTGATCTAGACAAAAAATTTCATCACAGCTTGAAAGAGCATCACAAAATTAGTATTATTCCAAAGTTTCGTTGCGAAATGTTGTAAAATGCGGATAATATAGCCATGCGAAGTTTGCCGTTTTTCAGTCATTTTGTATTACGCAGGGGAAATTGACAGCCCAATCGGGTGTTGGGGCATCAATTTCCTGTTTGTAATACAAAATGACTGAAAATTGCAAATTTCGCAAGGCTATATTATCCGCATTTTACAACATCTCGCAACGAAACTTTGGAATATTACTAATTTTGTGATGCTCTTTCAAGCTGTCATGAAATTTTTGTCTAGATCAAAATTTTGTCTATAATGCAAATGGTCCATTGATAAGGACCTCCTTGTTGAGTATCCACCACTAGCTCCCTACTCCCCATGAAGAAAACACACAAAGGATTTCAATTCTTCCCCAGGCTTTCACATCTTACACGGCATCGTACGAGAACAAAGCAGCAGTGTCGTCGTTGACTGACGTCATGGAACTCTACAGAGAACAGCCAACACGCCATCCAACGCTCGTCTCAAGCTCGACCTCATCACTCCAAAGACACAACAAGGAATACATGCCCGCTTGGTCGCTGTATGGCTCAACGGTGGATGACGTGAACAACCCCGAGCCGTACGCGAACCAGAGCTAAGAAACTGTACACGCACTTTTATTATAGTTTGGGTTGTCCTGTTGATGTGCTACAAATCATGGTGGATTAAATTGATTATGTACATAGCTACAGAATTGAACAGCCATGCTGTTCGGTGGAGCGAAAAGGAATTTGAAGAGCTGCAAATGAGCCTTTAAATTAGAAATGATCTGGAGAATGTTTCGCAAACTTTTTAGACGCAAACCTTTAGACAGTGAAAAACAATGTTACTTCTGGGTGATGAAACGAGTCTAAGATTGCATGAGAGTTTCCAATCACGAGCGATCTTGGTTAGCTGTTCTTGAGCCTCGTTTCCATATGGTCGTAAAAATATAGAGTTACGATCTTTCTCAACGGCCAGAGTTTATAATAGTTTATACCTGTGAACCACATTTCAAAATCTCATTAGTAATTCATGAGGAAAACACAAAGAAAAATCCTAAGCGTGTCGTATCTTTATATGTGATAGAGATTTCCCTTGATTTACCGATAAACTTTAACTTTGATTTTCTCGACTTTACACAACGTATTTTTTGAAAATTAGTTCGCCAATCAGTTCACTTGCTAGATCGATTGTTTTTGAAGCAATTTAAACTACATTCGCAGTGCGTGTTTTATCAGACCTAAAGATACTCGACTTCGCCTCGTATCTATAAATTTGATAAAACACTGCTGATCATGTTTTAAATAGAACATAAATCATAAGTATTCTCTAGTTCTAATCACTCCGCGTATTTTCAGTTCTAAAATGTTGTATTTCGGCTGATGAGAAAGATCGTGACTCAATCTTTACGACCGTTACGACCATGCTTTCCTAACAATCTCATGTATTTTAAGTTAAATCGTAGTTGAAAAAGTCATCAAACTTTTAGTATTTTGTTAATCTACAAATATGTACGACTGCCAACTCTTATGCGTCAACCCGGCTCGTTCTCGTTTTTTTAAGTGATGTCATTAAATTGTAATACATTTTGAAAAGTAAAATTAAAACATGAATTCCAAACGTTCAAATTCTATATTAAGGCTATGAAAGAAAACCAAAGGTATGCAAATAAAAATTCCTACGCCTTCCCCAAACTAAAGGGGCACAGCAGGGCGTTTTATTTTTCAATCAACCGTTCAGCGCCTTTTCGATGTCGCCTTAAATTGGGGGAGTAAAACTATCTCGTAATTTTACCATCGAAAACGGTTTGGTCGAAGGAATTTCAGACTCAGTTTAAACAATGGGTGCTGGGTCTTCATTTCGTACGAAGTCCAGACGGCTAGCTTTTCTATTACTGCTTATTTTTGGCGCTTTTGTTATCATTCTTGGTATAACTGTGCTAGGATTGGGTCTAGCTGTAACACACAACGATACATTTCATGACACCATTGGTTTGAAAGCGAAAATTGAGTCTACTGTCGATTATGTTCAATACTGGATTGGTATTCCGGTAAGATATACGTATTATAAGTTTAGTCTTATTTATATTATAAGGTTTTTCGTGACTTGTGTATTTAAATCATAGTTTTATTTAAAATGGACCTACTCTGCATGTCAGCGCTATCACATGACATGTCAATAAACTTGACAGATTTGTTTTAGTAAGATTTGCACTGTCGAAAATCTTGGCTTGGTCATGACGGGCTTGACCATGATATTATCAATTAGACGGCATATTTATTTTAGACATCTTCAGACCTAGTGAATATTTGTGAAATGGTTTACATATTATTAGCATTAAATATTTCGATTTGTAAAAAAATTCTTTGTTTACACACATATTATAATGTTATTTCAAACGAAGGAATTCTCGTCATTTAATTACAATAAAGTAAAACCGCCCAGCATTTTAAAAACACTCCACGGTTTTGGTGACAGAATGAACACCATTTCCAACCAGAGAACGTCTCGGCAAATATTGGGTCTAATTTTGGATTGGATTAATTATAATTTTGAATTGGGTCTAATTTTTGCTTCAAAAACTGCAATTGATACTGGTTTATATGGTGTTATATTGTATGTTCTAATTAATTATACCATCTTTACGCTGATATCTATAGTTGCTAACTATGTATGAGAGTCTTTTTATATATTTAAATATGGATATAACTATAGATTCGTTAGTTGCGTGCAGTATATCGTCACACCAAGTTAAACGAACGCCCTCAAATGAGAATATTTCACTGGAATTAACTCAACGTACTCGTAACCAAATCTCAGTTAAGCGTCCTAAAAGTTTACAGACTATTTATTTTCTAAGGAACTGATGTTGTCGTTTGAAGGGTTTAAATTTTCAGTTCAGATTCAAACCGCGGCGTGTTGCAATATACTTTCATTACTGCGGTGAAACCTGATAAATACATGCTTATCATAACCTACCAAATGAATCACCATTAGTTTGGGTTAGCTGTCAATTTACACAAGACAGCGCCTGCACGAATGAGAGAGCGGTGCAGTATGGATAACTAACTTGTACGTTTACATTTAGTACATATTCACAGGACTGTCACTCGCTTGTTCTGCTGTAAATCTTCGAAAGGTTTCTTTGGTGAGTATATATAATTAATTATACATTCGCTGATTGTATACTGTGTGTGTATATATATACGGACAATTTTGCTAATCAAGTTTTCAGTTCATAAAAATCTATTGTTTTTGTATGGCTTCACTATGAAGCTCACTGGTCTGTACCGATTGAAGTTAATTAAATAACAAGTGAACAACTGACTTAATTTTGTAGACGGTATGGACTATATTCGTATCTCTGATCTGTGTCGTCTTATCTTTGGCGGGGTTGGTTGTTGATGGGCCGGATTTTGTTTTGTGGAAAGATTACCGTGCTAAGGAAAAGTACTGGGAAGGCCAGGATGGTTTTGCTTGCTCATCAGAAGGAGACACATGTGAATGTAGCGGTAGTATACCCACAAACACAGGTGAGACAACAACAACAACAACACGACAATAACAACAACAGCAACAACGACAATAGCAACAGCAACAACAACAACAACAGCAACAACGACAATAGCAACAGCAACAACAACAACAGCAACAACGACAATAACAGCAACAACAGCAATAGCAACAACGACCATAAAACAACAGCAACAATAACAACAGCAATAGCAACAACAGCAACAACGACAATAACAGCAACAGCAACAAAACAACAGCAACGACAACATTATATTTGAAAATTAACAAAATCTTCCATGTTTTGCGTCTTTAAATTTAGTCAGAATATCAGGTTTCACTGATTGCGAGACCCTAATGAAATTGTCATCAATATATGGAGTTTTGATTGGCTGTTTCATCATTGGCTTGGTTTTGTTGCTTGCAAGCGTGTTTATGATTGTTTACATTGTAACCAGTGAACGAGAGAAGGTATGAATGTTGTTATGGTGGACGTTGAATGTTCAATGTTGTTCAATGTTGTTCAATGTTGTACAATGTTGTACAATGTTGTACAATGTTGTACAATGTTGTACAATGTTGTACAATGTTGTACAATGTTGTACAATGTTGTCCAATGTTGTACAATGTTGTTCAATGTTGTCCAATGTTGTTCAATGTTGTTCAATGTTGTTCAATGTTGTTCATTGTTGTTCAATGTTATCCAATGTTATTCAATGTTGTTCAATGTTGTTCAATGTTGTTGTTTTGTTGTTGCTGCAGTTATTGTTCCTGTTATTGTTGTTAGAAGTACTTTAATAATCTAAAACCCCAAAACCTGAAATTCGTTTAGGCAAGAAGAGAAGGCAAACCATACTATCAAACAACACGAGTAGTGGAGGCGAAGCACACAGATGCAGTATTTGAACACCCACTACAGGACTACACAAGAGATCAAGGCTACGAATACCCAGTGGCGCCACCCGCTGTGCCAGAACCCCCCAAACCAGCGCCACCCAAGCCAGCGCCGTACAGAGACTACAAGACAACAGCCCCTGAAAGTGTGAGTCAGCACAACAATGATGACGCCAGCAGCATCGTTGACAACGGAGGAATTGTAATGATGGATCCAGGCCGTTTCCGGCTCGGAGATGACGACATCTACTAGGTTACCATGGAAACATTTAGGTCTGAATAATTTGCAAATGGGATTGTTATGTATTTTCCCATCATAGTTGAAGAGAATGGTATCTTAACACGACTCAACCACAAAAATGCACTAATTTTAACCGAAATACAAAACTTTGTTATTCTACTAATATTAAAGACAGTCATTTGAACAAGCAGGACTTCGTAATATTCTATTTTGTAACTATTTTGAAATTTGTAACTACAGTAGAGTTTTGTTTTAAGAATCAAGACATAAATCATCATATGCCGTTTTCGTTTCAAATCAGGTTTATTTAAGGCCAATGGTACAGGTAGGTATTGAAGTTAGGTATGCGGCTGAAGTCTAGGGAGTCCGGGGAAAATTTGAGGCTCAGAAATGCCATTCTTAAGGGACCAGTCATTATTTATGGAAGGGGGTGGGCAAAAATAAGGGGGGGCAGTGTATAAATAAATGACTAGAAGGGGGGCTATTAAATCTTTTCAAGAAAATCAGGGGGAGGTGATTGTAAATGTCAGGGAAATTTGGTTGTAAATGTCAGGGGATTTTGTGGTAAATGTCAGGGCATTTTTTAACAATATAACTACTGGGGCATTTACCCCAGTAGGCCCTTTGCTTGCCCCAGGAGCGAAGCATGATTTTTAGATGAGTTGGGCCCTTCTGCAAGCTGCATCTGCCTGCTTTCTCGTGTCCTCTCAAATTCTCGACATTCCATCTTATAAAAGTCAGCACAGCATGGTCTTTATGTACGCGTAATTGTGTTGGAAAGGCTCTCATTGAGACTGTAATTTCTTAAAAAATGCCCGGCTCAACTCAAAAATCGAGTGAAACCAGAGTGAAATTCGTTCACGGTTTTATTTCGAATTTAAAAAACAGCTATCACGGATTCGGTACCAATACCAAAATAGAGTTATAATTATAATATTACTAATGCATTATAATGAATGGAAAAAGTCGAGTTTATATCATAGTCAATATTTTAAATAGCGTTTCAGAAAATTTAAGTCAATGACGTCACAAGTGCTACATAATAGCCCGGTCCCGCTGATGACTAATCCGTTCCTGCCCCCCCCCTTACACAACTGATACCAGAATGCAAACTTGCATGTGTATTGATCCATATGCAGTATTTTATCAATATATGCTTGTTTGGTACTTTTGATTTGTAAATGTTATGCCACTATATAATATAGTTGTCTTCATGAATAATTTTGTTGTCTGTTAGCTGTCCACAATGCGGATTTTGTCATTTTTGTCACACAAAGTTACATTCAGTCTCCAGGTTTTGGACTTTGGTATTTTGATCTGATATTGGTCACCAGTCGGCAAATGTAGTGACAGCTTGCCTGCCTCGCAGTCTAAGACCAACTCAACCGTATCACCTTGTTTAGAAAGTTGCTTCAAAGTATTGTCTGTCTTACAGAACCGATTTTCCCACGCTGTACAACCAGAGGGCCCGAATTCCCATCCATAGGAACCAGACCATTACGAGGAAGCTTTATTCGTTGGAGATACTGGAATAACATCCTCTTCCAATATCCCAACAAACATGTACTTGTCATCTTTCAAAGATTTCAACTTTAATTTGAGATTCACGATCCCATGTTGGTAGACATTTTCACCGAGAACATAGTCATGACGTGAAGATGAAACACGTTTACATGCGATTTTTCCGCCTTCCCTAAGAGCGACTGCAGCGCTGTGTAAATTGAATTTCTCGCTTGGCAAAATCTCAGCCATGATCTCTTCGTTCAAACCGAGATACTGAACAAAATCATTGAAATGTTTTGCTTGCTCTTCAGGAACTTTCGGCACAGTTGCGGGATTCTCTGGAGTCGTAATTTTCCTCGCGCGAAGATAATCCAAAATTATCACAAAATACTGTTGTAAATGCACTAAGTATGATTCTCACTTTACAAAAGATGAGCTAATTTTTAAATGTAAGCGAAAGCACTATATAGTCTGTTCTGGGAAAACAATTGCGAAATCTGACAATCTGTTACAGATCAGTGCTTTTTATGCAAATGCTGTAATCTGATTGGGAGAATTCGATGAATAATCACGAACATATTCATATTTCAAAATAGACCTGTCGAGTGTCGATATACCCTTTATTTTATTTAGAAATCTTTTGTGTTGCGCGTGTATAATCTGTTTATTAAATCAGTGTGTGTTATATAAATTCTCACTAGTCTAAACTTCAAACTGTTGGTTCTCAGTGTAGGTAGTGGTCTTGAAATACACGCCCTTTGTGGTAGATTCTCACTAGTCTTAACTTCAAACTATTGGTTCTCAGTGTAGGTACTGGTCTTGAAATACACGTCCTTTGTGGTAGATTCTCACTAGTCTAAACTTCAATTCGTTTAATTAAAAATTGTTGTCGTTTAATTAAAAATATCTAAAAATAAAAGACAGATATTGTCCTCAACTAGGCCTACTACATGTAAATGTTGCGACTAAATCATGGTCACTGATGTGAAATAGTCCGGATTTATCTTGTCTTTTGTGTGCTGTATGCAAATCAGTATTTTACTGATTGCAGATATAAATTGACAATGTGTTATTACATCCGCTATCTTGACATGGTTATACAATCGCCCAGATCAAATGGAAACCTGATTTTAGTGTTATATATAAAACTACTCCTCTTTTAATTATAATATCATTTATTAATAAGAAACAATTTGGCTGTTCAGTATGTTAATATCTTATCAGTTTCATATTCTTATTTAATAATTAACACTATAACGCCTGGGAATCTCCATAATATTTGACGAGTAAAAATAAAAATGGGGGGGGTCAAAGAAAAATATTTTCATATGCAGGGAGGACACCATTAAATTTCTGCTCTTTTAAGGGGGCTTTCAATTTTAAAAATTTAGGAAAGAAAAAATTCACCTCCCCCCTTCCATAAATAATGACTGGTCCCTTAATCGAAATGAAGAAATTGTATTAGAAATTGTGTAAGTTGCATTGACGGATATTCGAGCATACAGAGTGATGCAGATCAAATACCTTGCTTATAAACCATGCGTGGTATTTCCACAAAAACAAAACAATTATACTCTTAACAGCCTGAAATTATACAAGGAACCGAAGATTCTTTCGTCTACCTAACATAATTCGTCAAATATTTTATCAACAGGACGTCGGGAAGAAATTTTATAAATGTTGTGCGATGAAAACACGGAATAAAACCCCAACATTACTAAGCAAGAAATTAAATCAAATTGCAAACATGGACAATTTAGACCAAAAATAAAATTCATTTGAGATAGGTGACGAACCAAGTATTTCATCAAATACGATTATATGCATTCTATTTTTATGATATCAGTAAAAAAATTCAACATGTGTTAGATAAACTTAATATTCTATCCCCCAAACTACTTGTTCAAAGCAAGGGTGTGGGCTTTATGCTAATTTTATCTCAAAATCAAAATTACCTAGCTTATTATGTCAAAATATACACTCCAGCATGTATATTATTCATCCTCGACTCCACGATCCTCAACCATCAGTCAAGCTCAATTTTATCTTCGAATGCTGCTAAATGTAGACAACACGTAATACACTGCAGTCACAGATGCAATGTCACACTCAAATATAAAACACACCTACGTTTGTTTTTTCCTTCTCACAAGAATAAAGACCAATTAAGAAGTGATGATGCGGTTTTTCCGACTACATACATGATGATTTTACGGAAATCCAGTACTAGTATAACACTGGAATTATCTAATCCAGTACTAGTATAACACTGGAATTATCTATACGTTGTCGTTGTACAAACGTGTAATCTGTTATGTCTAAGTAAAGTAGCTCTATACGACCAAGGGCTATTATTTTCCCATGAAAATACTGACAGTGCTGCTAGTGAAAATGACCAATCTATTAAACCGACTAAAAAATACACTACAGACACGTAAAGCTTATAAATTCCTCTTTCATATACCATTTCAAATTCCTTCAGAGCTAGAGACCATATATAAATACAGGTTTTAATATAACAATTATAAAAATTATCATAACATATGTACACATGAAATGCCATAGCGAAAAAAATGCAAATAAGTCAGTCCATATGATTATTAAAATAACAATATAATTAATTTTCTCCCTTTCACTCATGGAATTGCAAAAGCCTTCACAAGAGAACAGATAAATATACATTCCAATGTAAAATTTATCATACGAAATACTTCAAACGCCATTCACATGATGGTAAAAAAAATGCAAAACAGAAATATTTTCGAACAATGTCTTTCGGACCACCTATGGCGATAATTTTTCTTTTTCATTTCGGAAGGCATACCAACAAGCCAAGTCGAACAACACGAAACTGCGAGGCAAATTTCAGCCATGGAATCGCATGGGAGAAGAAAGAAGTCGAGATCTATCGCCGCTTTGGTGTTTTTAACCATTATTGGTGTAGGGTTTTTGTTCTTCGGGCTGGTTACTATCACATGCGGGTTTATTGTGAATTATCTGGAAGATTTCGAGGTCACAGATGGTGGACAAGCTTTGGAATCGGCAGTGGAATCAGAGTTTGATTACACTCAGTATTGGCTTGGATTTCCAGTTAGTAAAACTATGGTTTCTATGTTATAATTAAGTACTAGTGAATTTCAGTAATTTAAAAGCCAGCAGATAGATGGTGGCCATTAATATCAGAGTAAGAAAATAATGTTAATATACTCCTAGCTCATTATTCATGGTAGTATACAAATTTGGTGATAAATAAATAAAATCGAAAGGCATAGATTATAGAAGGGGTTTTGTATTTCCCTCAAGATTTCAAACCACAAAAACTCTTCAATAGTTAATTCTGTCAAGTGAGATGCCCAATGCTATAGGTTATAGATTTTATGTTATAATTTTGACTTTCTCTTATAAGCTTCCAGATGCAGTTCTGATGCTAGACTTCGTGACTAGCATCTGTTGCTACGATTGGTGGTTTTGAGCTAAAGGCCCTGTCACACTATTGCATATCGTACTAGCGTATGCCAGCCTATGAAAAATATCACTCATAGTACCATACGCTGACATACGCTAGGGGTACGTTAGGCATTTAGGTTGTATACGTTTCAAGCACGATCGCATACGGTGGCATACGGCGAGACAGAAACATTTTTTTAAGCATGCTTAAAAATTTTGGGCGTATTCAGACGTATGGCTTATACGATAAGCACACTCTAAGCACACGCTGAATACGCTAGAGGTACGCTAGAGGTACGCTAGAGGTACGCTAGATGTACGGTACTCATGCGCTGGCATTTCAAGGGATATTTCATGTAATTTTGTGCCTATGAAAATTATTTCATTAATTTTCAGTTCCCTAGCTCAAGCATTTCTTACAAATCCTCCAAAACCAATGCAAAATTCCTACTGTAATCAGAGAAACGTTGATAGTACATGTAAACGATGCTTAAAGCCTTGGCTTAATGGTGAAACGAGGGTATTGGCACGGTCACGCGACCTTTTAGCTGCTAGTCTTAATGCTTTCCCAACATTGGAACATTCATTAATTAAATTAAACCTTTGTCTTCTTAACCAGACTGTCAAATCTCATCACCTCTCGTGTGCGTTTGATCACGGCTTAATTACATGCGATTTTTCCGCCTTCCCTAAGAGCGACTCCATCGCTGTGTAAATTGAATTTCTCGCTTGGCAAAATCTCAGCCATGATCTCTTCGTTCAAACCGAGATACTGAACAAGATCATTGAAATGTTTTGCTTGCTCTTCAGGAACTTTCGGCACAGTTGCGGGATTCTCTGGAGTCGCAATTTTCCTCGCGCGAAGATAATCCAAAATTATCACAAAATACTGTTGTAAATGCACTAAGTATGATTCTCACTTTACAAAAGATGAGCTAATTTTTAAATGTAAGCGAAAGCACTATATAGTCTGTTCTGGGAAAACAATTGCAAAATCTGACAATCTGTTACAGATCAGTGCTTTTTATGCAAATGCTGTAATCTGATTGGGAGAATTCGATGAATAATCACGAACATATTCATATTTCAAAATAGACCTGTCGAGTGTCGATATACCCTTTATTTTATTTAGAAATCTTTTGTGTTGCGCGTGTATAATCTGTTTATTAAATCAGTGTGTGTTATATAAATTCTCACTAGTCTAAACTTCAAACTGTTGGTTCTCAGTGTAGGTAGTGGTCTTGAAATACACGCCCTTTGTGGTAGATTCTCACTAGTCTTAACTTCAAACTATTGGTTCTCAGTGTAGGTACTGGTCTTGAAATACACGTCCTTTGTGGTAGATTCTCACTAGTCTAAACTTCAATTCGTTTAATTAAAAATTGTTGTCGTTTAATTAAAAATATCTAAAAATAAAAGACAGATATTGTCCTCAACTAGGCCTACTACATGTAAATGTTGCGACTAAATCATGGTCACTGATGTGAAATAGTCCGGATTTATCTTGTCTTTTGTGTGCTGTATGCAAATCAGTATTTTACTGATTGCAGATATAAATTGACAATGTGTTATTACATCCGCTATCTTGACATGGTTATACAATCGCCCAGATCAAATGGAAACCTGATTTTAGTGTTATATATAAAACTACTCCTCTTTTAATTATAATATCATTTATTAATAAGAAACAATTTGGCTGTTCAGTATGTTAATATCTTATCAGTTTCATATTCTTATTTAATAATTAACACTATAACGCCTGGGAATCTCCATAATATTTGACGAGTAAAAATAAAAATGGGGGGGGTCAAAGAAAAATATTTTCATATGCAGGGAGGACACCATTAAATTTCTGCTCTTTTAAGGGGGCTTTCAATTTTAAAAATTTAGGAAAGAAAAAATTCACCTCCCCCCTTCCATAAATAATGACTGGTCCCTTAATCGAAATGAAGAAATTGTATTAGAAATTGTGTAAGTTGCATTGACGGATATTCGAGCATACAGAGTGATGCAGATTAAATACCTTGCTTATAAACCATGCGTGGTATTTCCACAAAAACAAAACAATTATACTCTTAACAGCCTGAAATTATACAAGGAACCGAAGATTCTTTCGTCTACCTAACATAATTCGTCAAATATTTTATCAACAGGACGTCGGGAAGAAATTTTATAAATGTTGTGCGATGAAAACACGGAATAAAACCCCAACATTACTAAGCAAGAAATTAAATCAAATTGCAAACATGGACAATTTAGACCAAAAATAAAATTCATTTGAGATAGGTGACGAACCAAGTATTTCATCAAATACGATTATATGCATTCTATTTTTATGATATCAGTAAAAAAATTCAACATGTGTTAGATAAACTTAATATTCTATCCCCCAAACTACTTGTTCAAAGCAAGGGTGTGGGCTTTATGCTAATTTTATCTCAAAATCAAAATTACCTAGCTTATTATGTCAAAATATACACTCCAGCATGTATATTATTCATCCTCGACTCCACGATCCTCAACCATCAGTCAAGCTCAATTTTATCTTCGAATGCTGCTAAATGTAGACAACACGTAATACACTGCAGTCACAGATGCAATGTCACACTCAAATATAAAACACACCTACGTTTGTTTTTTCCTTCTCACAAGAATAAAGACCAATTAAGAAGTGATGATGCGGTTTTTCCGACTACATACATGATGATTTTACGGAAATCCAGTACTAGTATAACACTGGAATTATCTAATCCAGTACTAGTATAACACTGGAATTATCTATACGTTGTCGTTGTACAAACGTGTAATCTGTTATGTCTAAGTAAAGTAGCTCTATACGACCAAGGGCTATTATTTTCCCATGAAAATACTGACAGTGCTGCTAGTGAAAATGACCAATCTATTAAACCGACTAAAAAATACACTACAGACACGTAAAGCTTATAAATTCCTCTTTCATATACCATTTCAAATTCCTTCAGAGCTAGAGACCATATATAAATACAGGTTTTAATATAACAATTATAAAAATTATCATAACATATGTACACATGAAATGCCATAGCGAAAAAAATGCAAATAAGTCAGTCCATATGATTATTAAAATAACAATATAATTAATTTTCTCCCTTTCACTCATGGAATTGCAAAAGCCTTCACAAGAGAACAGATAAATATACATTCCAATGTAAAATTTATCATACGAAATACTTCAAACGCCATTCACATGATGGTAAAAAAAATGCAAAACAGAAATATTTTCGAACAATGTCTTTCGGACCACCTATGGCGATAATTTTTCTTTTTCATTTCGGAAGGCATACCAACAAGCCAAGTCGAACAACACGAAACTGCGAGGCAAATTTCAGCCATGGAATCGCATGGGAGAAGAAAGAAGTCGAGATCTATCGCCGCTTTGGTGTTTTTAACCATTATTGGTGTAGGGTTTTTGTTCTTCGGGCTGGTTACTATCACATGCGGGTTTATTGTGAATTATCTGGAAGATTTCGAGGTCACAGATGGTGGACAAGCTTTGGAATCGGCAGTGGAATCAGAGTTTGATTACACTCAGTATTGGCTTGGATTTCCAGTTAGTAAAACTATGGTTTCTATGTTATAATTAAGTACTAGTGAATTTCAGTAATTTAAAAGCCAGCAGATAGATGGTGGCCATTAATATCAGAGTAAGAAAATAATGTTAATATACTCCTAGCTCATTATTCATGGTAGTATACAAATTTGGTGATAAATAAATAAAATCGAAAGGCATAGATTATAGAAGGGGTTTTGTATTTCCCTCAAGATTTCAAACCACAAAAACTCTTCAATAGTTAATTCTGTCAAGTGAGATGCCCAATGCTATAGGTTATAGATTTTATGTTATAATTTTGACTTTCTCTTATAAGCTTCCAGATGCAGTTCTGATGCTAGACTTCGTGACTAGCATCTGTTGCTACGATTGGTGGTTTTGAGCTAAAGGCCCTGTCACACTATTGCATATCGTACTAGCGTATGCCAGCCTATGAAAAATATCACTCATAGTACCATACGCTGACATACGCTAGGGGTACGTTAGGCATTTAGGTTGTATACGTTTCAAGCACGATCGCATACGGTGGCATACGGCGAGACAGAAACATTTTTTTAAGCATGCTTAAAAATTTTGGGCGTATTCAGACGTATGGCTTATACGATAAGCACACTCTAAGCACACGCTGAATACGCTAGAGGTACGCTAGATGTACGGTACTCATACGCTGGCATTTCAAGGGATATTTCATGTAATTTTGTGCCTATGAAAATTATTTCATTAATTTTCAGTTCCCTAGCTCAAGCATTTCTTACAAATCCTCCAAAACCAATGCAAAATTCCTACTGTAATCAGAGAAACGTTGATAGTACATGTAAACGATGCTTAAAGCCTTGGCTTAATGGTGAAACGAGGGTATTGGCACGGTCACGCGACCTTTTAGCTGCTAGTCTTAATGCTTTCCCAACATTGGAACATTCATTAATTAAATTAAACCTTTGTCTTCTTAACCAGACTGTCAAATCTCATCACCTCTCGTGTGCGTTTGATCACGGCTTAATTACATGCGATTTTTCCGCCTTCCCTAAGAGCGACTCCATCGCTGTGTAAATTGAATTTCTCGCTTGGCAAAATCTCAGCCATGATCTCTTCGTTCAAACCGAGATACTGAACAAGATCATTGAAATGTTTTGCTTGCTCTTCAGGAACTTTCGGCACAGTTGCGGGATTCTCTGGAGTCGCAATTTTCCTCGCGCGAAGATAATCCAAAATTATCACAAAATACTGTTGTAAATGCACTAAGTATGATTCTCACTTTACAAAAGATGAGCTAATTTTTAAATGTAAGCGAAAGCACTATATAGTCTGTTCTGGGAAAACAATTGCAAAATCTGACAATCTGTTACAGATCAGTGCTTTTTATGCAAATGCTGTAATCTGATTGGGAGAATTCGATGAATAATCACGAACATATTCATATTTCAAAATAGACCTGTCGAGTGTCGATATACCCTTTATTTTATTTAGAAATCTTTTGTGTTGCGCGTGTATAATCTGTTTATTAAATCAGTGTGTGTTATATAAATTCTCACTAGTCTAAACTTCAAACTGTTGGTTCTCAGTGTAGGTAGTGGTCTTGAAATACACGCCCTTTGTGGTAGATTCTCACTAGTCTTAACTTCAAACTATTGGTTCTCAGTGTAGGTACTGGTCTTGAAATACACGTCCTTTGTGGTAGATTCTCACTAGTCTAAACTTCAATTCGTTTAATTAAAAATTGTTGTCGTTTAATTAAAAATATCTAAAAATAAAAGACAGATATTGTCCTCAACTAGGCCTACTACATGTAAATGTTGCGACTAAATCATGGTCACTGATGTGAAATAGTCCGGATTTATCTTGTCTTTTGTGTGCTGTATGCAAATCAGTATTTTACTGATTGCAGATATAAATTGACAATGTGTTATTACATCCGCTATCTTGACATGGTTATACAATCGCCCAGATCAAATGGAAACCTGATTTTAGTGTTATATATAAAACTACTCCTCTTTTAATTATAATATCATTTATTAATAAGAAACAATTTGGCTGTTCAGTATGTTAATATCTTATCAGTTTCATATTCTTATTTAATAATTAACACTATAACGCCTGGGAATCTCCATAATATTTGACGAGTAAAAATAAAAATGGGGGGGGTCAAAGAAAAATATTTTCATATGCAGGGAGGACACCATTAAATTTCTGCTCTTTTAAGGGGGCTTTCAATTTTAAAAATTTAGGAAAGAAAAAATTCACCTCCCCCCTTCCATAAATAATGACTGGTCCCTTAATCGAAATGAAGAAATTGTATTAGAAATTGTGTAAGTTGCATTGACGGATATTCGAGCATACAGAGTGATGCAGATCAAATACCTTGCTTATAAACCATGCGTGGTATTTCCACAAAAACAAAACAATTATACTCTTAACAGCCTGAAATTATACAAGGAACCGAAGATTCTTTCGTCTACCTAACATAATTCGTCAAATATTTTATCAACAGGACGTCGGGAAGAAATTTTATAAATGTTGTGCGATGAAAACACGGAATAAAACCCCAACATTACTAAGCAAGAAATTAAATCAAATTGCAAACATGGACAATTTAGACCAAAAATAAAATTCATTTGAGATAGGTGACGAACCAAGTATTTCATCAAATACGATTATATGCATTCTATTTTTATGATATCAGTAAAAAAATTCAACATGTGTTAGATAAACTTAATATTCTATCCCCCAAACTACTTGTTCAAAGCAAGGGTGTGGGCTTTATGCTAATTTTATCTCAAAATCAAAATTACCTAGCTTATTATGTCAAAATATACACTCCAGCATGTATATTATTCATCCTCGACTCCACGATCCTCAACCATCAGTCAAGCTCAATTTTATCTTCGAATGCTGCTAAATGTAGACAACACGTAATACACTGCAGTCACAGATGCAATGTCACACTCAAATATAAAACACACCTACGTTTGTTTTTTCCTTCTCACAAGAATAAAGACCAATTAAGAAGTGATGATGCGGTTTTTCCGACTACATACATGATGATTTTACGGAAATCCAGTACTAGTATAACACTGGAATTATCTAATCCAGTACTAGTATAACACTGGAATTATCTATACGTTGTCGTTGTACAAACGTGTAATCTGTTATGTCTAAGTAAAGTAGCTCTATACGACCAAGGGCTATTATTTTCCCATGAAAATACTGACAGTGCTGCTAGTGAAAATGACCAATCTATTAAACCGACTAAAAAATACACTACAGACACGTAAAGCTTATAAATTCCTCTTTCATATACCATTTCAAATTCCTTCAGAGCTAGAGACCATATATAAATACAGGTTTTAATATAACAATTATAAAAATTATCATAACATATGTACACATGAAATGCCATAGCGAAAAAAATGCAAATAAGTCAGTCCATATGATTATTAAAATAACAATATAATTAATTTTCTCCCTTTCACTCATGGAATTGCAAAAGCCTTCACAAGAGAACAGATAAATATACATTCCAATGTAAAATTTATCATACGAAATACTTCAAACGCCATTCACATGATGGTAAAAAAAATGCAAAACAGAAATATTTTCGAACAATGTCTTTCGGACCACCTATGGCGATAATTTTTCTTTTTCATTTCGGAAGGCATACCAACAAGCCAAGTCGAACAACACGAAACTGCGAGGCAAATTTCAGCCATGGAATCGCATGGGAGAAGAAAGAAGTCGAGATCTATCGCCGCTTTGGTGTTTTTAACCATTATTGGTGTAGGGTTTTTGTTCTTCGGGCTGGTTACTATCACATGCGGGTTTATTGTGAATTATCTGGAAGATTTCGAGGTCACAGATGGTGGACAAGCTTTGGAATCGGCAGTGGAATCAGAGTTTGATTACACTCAGTATTGGCTTGGATTTCCAGTTAGTAAAACTATGGTTTCTATGTTATAATTAAGTACTAGTGAATTTCAGTAATTTAAAAGCCAGCAGATAGATGGTGGCCATTAATATCAGAGTAAGAAAATAATGTTAATATACTCCTAGCTCATTATTCATGGTAGTATACAAATTTGGTGATAAATAAATAAAATCGAAAGGCATAGATTATAGAAGGGGTTTTGTATTTCCCTCAAGATTTCAAACCACAAAAACTCTTCAATAGTTAATTCTGTCAAGTGAGATGCCCAATGCTATAGGTTATAGATTTTATGTTATAATTTTGACTTTCTCTTATAAGCTTCCAGATGCAGTTCTGATGCTAGACTTCGTGACTAGCATCTGTTGCTACGATTGGTGGTTTTGAGCTAAAGGCCCTGTCACACTATTGCATATCGTACTAGCGTATGCCAGCCTATGAAAAATATCACTCATAGTACCATACGCTGACATACGCTAGGGGTACGTTAGGCATTTAGGTTGTATACGTTTCAAGCACGATCGCATACGGTGGCATACGGCGAGACAGAAACATTTTTTTAAGCATGCTTAAAAATTTTGGGCGTATTCAGACGTATGGCTTATACGATAAGCACACTCTAAGCACACGCTGAATACGCTAGAGGTACGCTAGATGTACGGTACTCATACGCTGGCATTTCAAGGGATATTTCATGTAATTTTGTGCCTATGAAAATTATTTCATTAATTTTCAGTTCCCTAGCTCAAGCATTTCTTACAAATCCTCCAAAACCAATGCAAAATTCCTACTGTAATCAGAGAAACGTTGATAGTACATGTAAACGATGCTTAAAGCCTTGGCTTAATGGTGAAACGAGGGTATTGGCACGGTCACGCGACCTTTTAGCTGCTAGTCTTAATGCTTTCCCAACATTGGAACATTCATTAATTAAATTAAACCTTTGTCTTCTTAACCAGACTGTCAAATCTCATCACCTCTCGTGTGCGTTTGATCACGGCTTAATTACATGCGATTTTTCCGCCTTCCCTAAGAGCGACTCCATCGCTGTGTAAATTGAATTTCTCGCTTGGCAAAATCTCAGCCATGATCTCTTCGTTCAAACCGAGATACTGAACAAGATCATTGAAATGTTTTGCTTGCTCTTCAGGAACTTTCGGCACAGTTGCGGGATTCTCTGGAGTCGCAATTTTCCTCGCGCGAAGATAATCCAAAATTATCACAAAATACTGTTGTAAATGCACTAAGTATGATTCTCACTTTACAAAAGATGAGCTAATTTTTAAATGTAAGCGAAAGCACTATATAGTCTGTTCTGGGAAAACAATTGCAAAATCTGACAATCTGTTACAGATCAGTGCTTTTTATGCAAATGCTGTAATCTGATTGGGAGAATTCGATGAATAATCACGAACATATTCATATTTCAAAATAGACCTGTCGAGTGTCGATATACCCTTTATTTTATTTAGAAATCTTTTGTGTTGCGCGTGTATAATCTGTTTATTAAATCAGTGTGTGTTATATAAATTCTCACTAGTCTAAACTTCAAACTGTTGGTTCTCAGTGTAGGTAGTGGTCTTGAAATACACGCCCTTTGTGGTAGATTCTCACTAGTCTTAACTTCAAACTATTGGTTCTCAGTGTAGGTACTGGTCTTGAAATACACGTCCTTTGTGGTAGATTCTCACTAGTCTAAACTTCAATTCGTTTAATTAAAAATTGTTGTCGTTTAATTAAAAATATCTAAAAATAAAAGACAGATATTGTCCTCAACTAGGCCTACTACATGTAAATGTTGCGACTAAATCATGGTCACTGATGTGAAATAGTCCGGATTTATCTTGTCTTTTGTGTGCTGTATGCAAATCAGTATTTTACTGATTGCAGATATAAATTGACAATGTGTTATTACATCCGCTATCTTGACATGGTTATACAATCGCCCAGATCAAATGGAAACCTGATTTTAGTGTTATATATAAAACTACTCCTCTTTTAATTATAATATCATTTATTAATAAGAAACAATTTGGCTGTTCAGTATGTTAATATCTTATCAGTTTCATATTCTTATTTAATAATTAACACTATAACGCCTGGGAATCTCCATAATATTTGACGAGTAAAAATAAAAATGGGGGGGGTCAAAGAAAAATATTTTCATATGCAGGGAGGACACCATTAAATTTCTGCTCTTTTAAGGGGGCTTTCAATTTTAAAAATTTAGGAAAGAAAAAATTCACCTCCCCCCTTCCATAAATAATGACTGGTCCCTTAATCGAAATGAAGAAATTGTATTAGAAATTGTGTAAGTTGCATTGACGGATATTCGAGCATACAGAGTGATGCAGATCAAATACCTTGCTTATAAACCATGCGTGGTATTTCCACAAAAACAAAACAATTATACTCTTAACAGCCTGAAATTATACAAGGAACCGAAGATTCTTTCGTCTACCTAACATAATTCGTCAAATATTTTATCAACAGGACGTCGGGAAGAAATTTTATAAATGTTGTGCGATGAAAACACGGAATAAAACCCCAACATTACTAAGCAAGAAATTAAATCAAATTGCAAACATGGACAATTTAGACCAAAAATAAAATTCATTTGAGATAGGTGACGAACCAAGTATTTCATCAAATACGATTATATGCATTCTATTTTTATGATATCAGTAAAAAAATTCAACATGTGTTAGATAAACTTAATATTCTATCCCCCAAACTACTTGTTCAAAGCAAGGGTGTGGGCTTTATGCTAATTTTATCTCAAAATCAAAATTACCTAGCTTATTATGTCAAAATATACACTCCAGCATGTATATTATTCATCCTCGACTCCACGATCCTCAACCATCAGTCAAGCTCAATTTTATCTTCGAATGCTGCTAAATGTAGACAACACGTAATACACTGCAGTCACAGATGCAATGTCACACTCAAATATAAAACACACCTACGTTTGTTTTTTCCTTCTCACAAGAATAAAGACCAATTAAGAAGTGATGATGCGGTTTTTCCGACTACATACATGATGATTTTACGGAAATCCAGTACTAGTATAACACTGGAATTATCTAATCCAGTACTAGTATAACACTGGAATTATCTATACGTTGTCGTTGTACAAACGTGTAATCTGTTATGTCTAAGTAAAGTAGCTCTATACGACCAAGGGCTATTATTTTCCCATGAAAATACTGACAGTGCTGCTAGTGAAAATGACCAATCTATTAAACCGACTAAAAAATACACTACAGACACGTAAAGCTTATAAATTCCTCTTTCATATACCATTTCAAATTCCTTCAGAGCTAGAGACCATATATAAATACAGGTTTTAATATAACAATTATAAAAATTATCATAACATATGTACACATGAAATGCCATAGCGAAAAAAATGCAAATAAGTCAGTCCATATGATTATTAAAATAACAATATAATTAATTTTCTCCCTTTCACTCATGGAATTGCAAAAGCCTTCACAAGAGAACAGATAAATATACATTCCAATGTAAAATTTATCATACGAAATACTTCAAACGCCATTCACATGATGGTAAAAAAAATGCAAAACAGAAATATTTTCGAACAATGTCTTTCGGACCACCTATGGCGATAATTTTTCTTTTTCATTTCGGAAGGCATACCAACAAGCCAAGTCGAACAACACGAAACTGCGAGGCAAATTTCAGCCATGGAATCGCATGGGAGAAGAAAGAAGTCGAGATCTATCGCCGCTTTGGTGTTTTTAACCATTATTGGTGTAGGGTTTTTGTTCTTCGGGCTGGTTACTATCACATGCGGGTTTATTGTGAATTATCTGGAAGATTTCGAGGTCACAGATGGTGGACAAGCTTTGGAATCGGCAGTGGAATCAGAGTTTGATTACACTCAGTATTGGCTTGGATTTCCAGTTAGTAAAACTATGGTTTCTATGTTATAATTAAGTACTAGTGAATTTCAGTAATTTAAAAGCCAGCAGATAGATGGTGGCCATTAATATCAGAGTAAGAAAATAATGTTAATATACTCCTAGCTCATTATTCATGGTAGTATACAAATTTGGTGATAAATAAATAAAATCGAAAGGCATAGATTATAGAAGGGGTTTTGTATTTCCCTCAAGATTTCAAACCACAAAAACTCTTCAATAGTTAATTCTGTCAAGTGAGATGCCCAATGCTATAGGTTATAGATTTTATGTTATAATTTTGACTTTCTCTTATAAGCTTCCAGATGCAGTTCTGATGCTAGACTTCGTGACTAGCATCTGTTGCTACGATTGGTGGTTTTGAGCTAAAGGCCCTGTCACACTATTGCATATCGTACTAGCGTATGCCAGCCTATGAAAAATATCACTCATAGTACCATACGCTGACATACGCTAGGGGTACGTTAGGCATTTAGGTTGTATACGTTTCAAGCACGATCGCATACGGTGGCATACGGCGAGACAGAAACATTTTTTTAAGCATGCTTAAAAATTTTGGGCGTATTCAGACGTATGGCTTATACGATAAGCACACTCTAAGCACACGCTGAATACGCTAGAGGTACGCTAGATGTACGGTACTCATACGCTGGCATTTCAAGGGATATTTCATGTAATTTTGTGCCTATGAAAATTATTTCATTAATTTTCAGTTCCCTAGCTCAAGCATTTCTTACAAATCCTCCAAAACCAATGCAAAATTCCTACTGTAATCAGAGAAACGTTGATAGTACATGTAAACGATGCTTAAAGCCTTGGCTTAATGGTGAAACGAGGGTATTGGCACGGTCACGCGACCTTTTAGCTGCTAGTCTTAATGCTTTCCCAACATTGGAACATTCATTAATTAAATTAAACCTTTGTCTTCTTAACCAGACTGTCAAATCTCATCACCTCTCGTGTGCGTTTGATCACGGCTTAAATGGAATCTAGTTTGCTAGCAGGCATAAAAGCGATAAAGTATATATAGGCTACAGTTGAATGTTCTCGAAAATGCACTTAAGTTCACAATACGTTTAATTTGCATGCGTTTTATAAACAACTTATACTCTCAATTAAAAATCGCATTATGCTGTGCAACACTGTTAAACAAAGAATAACAAATTAAAATACATGACATACAATTTAAAATATTGGCTACAGTGTTTCGTGAAAAGAATAGAATGCAGTGTATTATAACCCTTAGCTTGAAGTGGCAATGTAGTTATCATCTTATTAATGCATTTCGTGTTTAAACCGTAAATAAATTTGTGTGGTTCACAATTTCGTATTATTTAATACAATATAAAATTACAAATACACACTACTAAATGTTGTATGTGTACCATTTAAGTGGATTTAAAACCATTTCCGTGTGTCGTTTATACTCCAGTCTCACAGACGTCTTTATGGCGTCAAAGACGTCTTTTACATGTATAATAAAAACATGGTAATGAACTGTAAAACCGGAATGAAAAAACGCGGAAATGCACTGTGAAACCAGCCATTAGTTGTACAAGTCTGAGGACTGCTGGTTAAGCCAGCGAAAACGTATATGTATAGTAAGATTCGCAAACATTTTTGAACGGCATACTTGCGCTAAGGGCGTGATTGCGCACTAGGCGTGGCAGCCTGGGTATCATACATTTTTGTGTGATCAGACGATTACATAGAATTCTTACTACCATATAATTCTTGCACCAGTTTCGTCTCATTTGTCTGCTAATTTTGATATTTCTTTTTAGTTCCTGATCACAGCAGTTCTTTCAGTTTGCTCAGGATTGTTTCAAACAACGAGATCATTGGTAAGACATTGACCTCACATAATAATGTTCGTGACATCGAACATGTACTGTACAATAGATCTGTGGATATTTTTACACACGACAATATTGTGAATATGGAAATATGCGATGTACCGAGGGGTTTTGCAAAAGCATTGTGAAAACCAGTCCTAACGACCAGTTTTAACTAATATTAGTATTTTTGCACGAGTGAATATGACAAATCCTACAAGTTGATTGGTCAAATTTGACGTATTAAGCTGTCACATTCACCTACAGGTGAATATAACAAAACCAAAATTTGCAAGATGGCGGCTGGCCGTTTTGTGGAAGTTACTGATAAGGAAGTAAGCGAAATTAAATAACAAAAATCTTGTGACTTGTGGCAGTAAAAACAAAATATTAAAACCATTATTAGCCTTAAATATTGTCTTGGTTGAATCAAGTTCATTCACACCATTATCATTATAAAGTGGCTGTTTTTCTAAATACTTGCATATTTTTTTCCAATTTTAGACAAGTACAACTGTTGTGTTCTTCCATCTCTGTATAATTCTTTCGTTGTTCGCGATGGTACTCGAAGGAGTAGATTGGGTTACATGGAAGAACATGGACAGTTTGCGCAAGAACTGGGAGGATAAAGATGGATATTCCTGTTCGAGCGTGGGACACTCGTGCGTTTGTGCACACACCACCACCAATGCAACTATGCGTAAGGCTGTGTTCATATCAGTTCGGATACAGATAATCATCCTGTTTCAACTTGTTCGTACTGCTTGTTCCCAGCTTGTTGACAAGTCGTCAACGGCTTGTTGACAACTTGCTACAAGGTTGTTGAGCTCAACAGACTTGTTACAAGTTGTTCCAACAACTTGTTATCGTCCTGCAATTCAACAATTTGTCAAAAGTTGTGAGTGACAACTTTGTAGCGATTTGATAAAATAACAACTTTGTTACAATTTGTCGCAAGCCTGTTGCGAACACATCTTGTTGACAAGTTGTGAGATTTTTTTACGTGTGTAAACTGAAGCAGTAAAACTTGAAGAAGACCTCGAAGGACAGCAGGAAAGAACCAACCCAGATTTATATTTAGATGAGATTTCGAGCACACAGAAGTTAATCACCCAACGTAAACAGATACCTCAGTAGCAGGCTTAACTCAGGGACAAGCAACAATTCACTTCGTCTGCTAGATCTATTGATTTCCTTTTTCATTTTTTCAGCCGTTTCCTCATGGGCGTCGTGTTCCAACATCTCATCACTTTCTGGTCTTTTCGGCGCCATTACAGCATCAGCCATCATAGGAATATTCCTCTCTCTTGCTGGCATTGTTGTTATTTTGAATTCGTTGTCATGGAAACCACATCGTTACCTAGTTGTAAGTAACTGTCTCTCGAGATGAATTGTGCTTAATTTTTTCTGCATAAATTGTTCCATGTTCCATTCAAGCAAGGATGATAGTAAGATCACTTATAAAGCACTTCGTTCTAAATAAGCCACGACAGCTTATTGTAGAATACGACCTACACTGGACCACCACGTTTGAGATATCTTTTTCAGGTAGTTCAGACACAAACCACGACAGCTTATTGTAGAATACTACCTACACTGGACCACCACGTTTGAGATATCTTTTTCAGGTAGTTCAGACACAAACCACGACAGCTTATTGTAGAATACTACCTACACTGGATCACCACGTTTGAGATATCTTTTTCAGGTAGTTCAGACACAAACCACGGCAGCTTATTGTAGAATACTACCTACACTGGATCACCACGTTTGAGATATCTTTTTCAGGTAGTTC